AATCTTCTAAGGGTGAACTCCTATAAAGAGAATTAATAAGCCTTGTTCCTCCACGACATTTCTTCGCTTCCCTCCCCTCCTCTCCCTCTCCCTCTCCCCCTTTAGACTTCCATAGAAGGCAAACAAGATTCTATACCCCAAGCTTGTATATTCCTCCCTTTCTCCCTCCTTCTTTTCCGCTTCTCCACCCACTCTTCCTAATTTATCACATCTTCCTCCTTTCCCTCCTTATTCCCTTCCTCTTCCTCCTCCTCCTCCTCCTACCTGCGCCCCCCCCCCCCCCCCCGTAGGGCACATCGCAGACAAGGCCTGGGCTGCTGAACATTCACAAGCTGTACATTTAATCTTAGCCTTTTTTCCTCCCTCTCGCTGCGTGTTGTGGGTTTTACATATATATGAGTAGTGGCGCTTTTCCTCCTCCTCCACTCCCTCTCCCTCCTCCTCCTCCTCTACCCCTCCCCCCTCCTTCTCCTCTACCCTTCCCCCCCTCCTTCTCCTCAACCCCTCCCCCCCTCCTTCTCCTCTATCCTTCCCCCCCCTCCTCCTCCTCCTCTCCCCCTCCACTTCCTCCTCCTAACCCCTTCCCTCTCATACTTTCTCTCCTGCTCCCCCCATGCCCCCTCTTCCTCCCTTCCCCCCCTCCCCACCTTATCCTTAATGAGACAGATGTGGATTAGGTCATGAAATACGGCTCCGCTACTTGTCCTAGTGCTTTCTACATTGTAAATAGTAATTAGTTTGTATTTTTAACTCCTTTTTTTGGCCCAGCTGTTCTGTATGACAATAATTTGCGTGTTGTTTTCCTTTCCTTCCCCACTTAAATTGTAGGTTGGTAGTTATAATAGCATTACATTACCGCCATCTGCTGGTGGTTTAGAGCATAGGGTAGATAGATTATATACTTTTTCCAACTGCTCTCTTTTTACCCTTTAGACATAGGTTGTTATGAAACTTATGGTAACGATCTTTGTGCGCAAAGTTCCAAATAAAAAAAAGGAAAAAAATATATAATGCCTAATTCTATTTTTAAGTAAGAGAATTTTCTCCGTTATTCTAAAATGTTTTGTTTAGATTTTCTTTTTACCTTTACCTTCATCTGTCTTCCTATTTTGGCTTCTATTATTATCCTTACGTAATTACCAAGTAGTTCTTCGCAGGTAACACTTCATTCATCGCTTCACACGGCCATGCGAGACGTGCCAAAACACACTTACAGTTCACTTCGAAGTTCTAAGAATTGCCCCTTGTTCACGGAAGTTATTAAACTTATCAAAATACACACACACACACACTAACACACACACACACACACACACACACACACACACACACACACACACACACACACACACACACATATATATATATATATATATACATATATATAAGCATTCTATATTACATATGGAAGTTCTTAAAATGAGCTTCCCTTGCCCGTAAAAGATACTTAGCGTTATTAAATAGTTCCGCAACAATCGCGCCCGGGGCCTCTGCGCAGTCGCTTGCAAGGAAAGTGCATTAGAGAAAAAGGTAATGCGCGGAGGAAGTGAAACATTAAAAAGGAGAGGAAAAAGATTGCTCCCACAGAAAAATGAAATAAAAGGAAATAGGAGAAATGATAATAAAGGAAAAAATATACAAACAGGCGAAATAGATAATAACTAATGAGAATGTCGTGATATACAGGCTTCATAAATAAATGTGATAAGCACAAAATATATATACATGCCAATAATAATACTGATATTAATAATAATAAGGATATAACAACAGAAGTAATAATAAAATCAATAATAACAACAAGAATAATAACAATAATGATAACGAAAATAAAAATAATAACATTGATAATAACAACAACAACATCAACAACAACAACAACAACAACAACAATAATAATAACAATAATAACAATAATAATAATAATAATAATAATAATAATAATAATAATGATAATAATAATAATAATAATAATAATAATAATAATAATAATGATAAGGATAATAAAAACCGAGACAAAAATAATAAAAACTAACAATGATAATGGAATAAAAAGAAATGAAAGGAAACGTCACATGCGGATAAAAGTGAGCAAAATACGTACCCTCAAATACAATGATACCAACACCAAAATGAATAAGAAAATAAAAAAAAGAAAAAAAGAAAAAAAAAGGCGAACGAAACGAACTAGAAGATGGTTTTTCCTGAACATTACTTTTCATTGTCCCACGAAAGTCTGGCAACACTGGGAGACAGAAAATTTGCAGCGAGATTGCGAGGGATTGCAAAGACTTACGCTGCAAAAATGAAGACTTGCAGCGGCCGTATGTCAAGTGATGAACTTTATTTCTGGAGGACATTTATTGGGGGAGGGGAGGGGTTAAGGAGAGAGGGGGGCAGGGGGGGAAGGGAGAATAAGTTAAGGGGAAAGGGGGGAAGGGGGAGACTTAGGAGAAAGAGGAAGGGGAGACTTGAGGGAGAGGGAAAGGAGGGGCCTTGG